AAAATGTGGTCTCTGCCAAATTTGGGTCTTCAATTGGAACTCTGATGAATTTCGATCATGAACTGGACTCTGAATATTTGGCACAAAGTAGACTCTGGCGAATTTCTGTTGATAATTGGACTCTGATGAAATATGAGCTAAAAACTGTCTCTGACTAATTTTGCTCACAAAGTAGACTCTGACGAAAATTGGGTATAAAATGGACTCTGTCAAATTTTCGCAGATTACAGGACTCTGATGAATTTCGATCAAGAACTGGACTCTGATGAATTTTGCTATTAAAGTAGACTGGCGAATTTGAGCATAAACTGGACTCTGACGAAAATTGGGTATAAAATGGACTCTGTCAAATTTTCACAGATTACAGGACACTGATGAAATTTCGATCAAGAACTGGACTCTGATGAATTTTGCTATTAAAGTAGACTCTGGAGAATTTGAGCAAAATTGGGTATAAAATGGACTCTGTCAAATTTTCACAGATTACAGGACACTGATGAAATTTGCTCTCAAAGTAGACTCTGGCGAATTTCTGTTGATAATTGGACTCTGATGAAATATGAGCTTAAAACTGTCTCTGACTAATTTTGCTCTCAAAGTAGACTCTGGCGAATTTCTGTTGATAATTGGACTCTGATGAAATATGAGCTAAAAACTGTCTCTGACTAATTTTGCTCACAAAGTAGACTCTGACGAATTTCTGTTGACAATTGGACTCTGATGAAATATGAGCTTAAAACTGGGCTCTGTTCAATTTTGGTCTTTACAGGTGAAATAGCCGTAAATGGATATAAAACTAAATGTTATGGATAAGTTGTCTGTTTTCCTTAACAAAACATCTAAGACAATATTCTCTGAAAATGGTCCTTTTACAAATTCGGTCATAAACATATAAATAAACTTCTATGATTATTTGAAACTCTGAAAATAGCTGTAAGGAAATAGGAGGAGAGAGAGAGAGAGGGATGGTCCAGATATTATTATGGAGAAGATAAGATACGATTACCGAGGTGACCTGAAGGCCGCGTCTGGCTGACGTCTAAAGTAAACACAGGTGAGGCGACAGATTGCTATTTCTCCCATAAGACCTTAACAAATTTCTAAGTCTCAGAAATTATTTTCTTCATAAGAAATCCTTACTTCTAAAATCTGTGACTGACAAAATTTACCTGAAAACCCTGGCTCACACGCGGGATATTTCCCAGAAAAAAAAAAAAAAGTTACCTGTGGCGCTTACACCCTACTACTGTCAGTGTGACGGGACTAGCCAGGTGGAGCGGGCTGGGGGGTCAGTGTGATGGGACTAGCCAGGTGGAGCGGGCTGGAGCGGGCTGGGGGGGGGTCAGTGTGACGGGACTAGCCAGGTGGAGCGGGCTGGGGGGGTCAGTGTGATGGGACTAGCCAGGTGGAGCGGGCTGGGGGGTCAGTGTGACGGGACTAGCCAGGTGGAGCGGGCTGGGGGGTCAGTGTGACGGGACTAGCCAGGTGGAGCGGGCTGGGGGGGTCAGTGTGACGGGACTAGCCAGGTGGAGCGGGCTGGGGGGTCAGTGTGACGGGACTAGCCAGGTGGAGCGGGCTGGGGGGTCAGTGTGACGGGACTAGCCAGGTGGAGCGGGCTGGGGGGTCAGTGTGACGGGACTAGCCAGGTGGAGCGGGCTGGGGGGTCAGTGTGACGGGACTAGCCAGGTGGAGCGGGCTGGGGGGTCAGTGTGACGGGACTAGCCAGGTGGAGCGGGCTGGGGGGGGGGGTCAGTGTGACGGGACTAGCCAGGTGGAGCGGGCTGGGGGGTCAGTGTGACGGGACTAGCCAGGTGGAGCGGGCTGGGGGGGGGGTCAGTGTGACGGGACTAGCCAGGTGGAGCGGGCTGGGGGGTCAGTGTGACGGGACTAGCCAGGTGGAGCGGGCTGGGGGGGGGGTCAGTGTGACGGGACTAGCCAGGTGGAGCGGGCTGGGGGGGGGTCAGTGTGACGGGACTAGCCAGGTGGAGCGGGCTGGGGGGTCAGTGTGACGGGACTAGCCAGGTGGAGCGGGCTGGGGGGGGGGGTCAGTGTGACGGGACTAGCCAGGTGGAGCGGGCTGGGGGGGGGGGTCAGTGTGACGGGACTAGCCAGGTGGAGCGGGCTGGGGGGGGGGGTCAGTGTGACGGGACTAGCCAGGTGGAGCGGGCTGGGGGGGGGTCAGTGTGACGGGACTAGCCAGGTGGAGCGGGCTGGGGGGGGGGGTCAGTGTGACGGGACTAGCCAGGTGGAGCGGGCTGGGGGGTCAGTGTGACGGGACTAGCCAGGTGGAGCGGGCTGGGGGGTCAGTGTGACGGGACTAGCCAGGTGGAGCGGGCTGGGGGGGGGGTCAGTGTGACGGGACTAGCCAGGTGGAGCGGGCTGGGGGGGGGGTCAGTGTGACGGGACTAGCCAGGTGGAGCGGGCTGGAGGGGGGGGGGGTCAGTGTGACGGGACTAGCCAGGTGGAGCGGGCTGGAGCGGGGGGGGGGGGTCAGTGTGACGGGACTAGCCAGGTGGAGCGGGCTGGGGGGGTCAGTGTGACGGGACTAGCCAGGTGGAGCGGGCTGGGGGGGTCAGTGTGACGGGACTAGCCAGGTGGAGCGGGCTGGGGGGGTCAGTGTGACGGGACTAGCCAGGTGGAGCGGGCTGGGGGGGGGGGGGGGTCAGTGTGACGGGACTAGCCAGGTGGAGCGGGGAGCGGGGGGGGGGTCAGTGTGACGGGACTAGCCAGGTGGAGCGGGGGGGGGGGGGGGTCAGTGTGACGGGACTAGCCAGGTGGAGCGGGCTGGGGGGGGTCAGTGTGACGGGACTAGCCAGGTGGAGCGGGCTGGGGGGGTCAGTGTGACGGGACTAGCCAGGTGGAGCGGGCTGGGGGGGGGGGGTCAGTGTGACGGGACTAGCCAGGTGGAGCGGGGGGGGGGGGTCAGTGTGACGGGACTAGCCAGGTGGAGCGGGCTGGGGGGGGGGGGTCAGTGTGACGGGACTAGCCAGGTGGAACGGGCTGGGGGGTCAGTGTGACGGGACTAGCCAGGTGGAGCGGGCTGGGGGGGTCAGTGTGACGGGACTAGCCAGGTGGAGCGGGCTGGGGGGTCAGTGTGACGGGACTAGCCAGGTGGAGCGGGCTGGGGGGGGTCAGTGTGATGGGACTAGCCAGGTGGAGCGGGCTGGGGGGGGGGTCAGTGTGACGGGACTAGCCAGGTGGAGCGGGCTGGGGGGTCAGTGTGACGGGACTAGCCAGGTGGAGCGGGCTGGGGGGGTCAGTGTGACGGGACTAGCCAGGTGGAGCGGGCTGGGGGGGTCAGTGTGACGGGACTAGCCAGGTGGAGCGGGCTGGGGGGGTCAGTGTGACGGGACTAGCCAGGTGGAGCGGGCTGGGGGGTCAGTGTGACGGGACTAGCCAGGTGGAGCGGGCTGGGGGGTCAGTGTGACGGGACTAGCCAGGTGGAGCGGGCTGGGGGGTCAGTGTGACGGGACTAGCCAGGTGGAGCGGGCTGGGGGGGGGGGTCAGTGTGACGGGACTAGCCAGGTGGAGCGGGCTGGGGGGGGGTCAGTGTGACGGGACTAGCCAGGTGGAGCGGGGGGGGGGGGTCAGTGTGACGGGACTAGCCAGGTGGAGCGGGCTGGGGGGGGGGTCAGTGTGACGGGACTAGCCAGGTGGAGCGGGCTGGGGGGGGGGTCAGTGTGACGGGACTAGCCAGGTGGAGCGGGCTGGGGGGGGGGGTCAGTGTGACGGGACTAGCCAGGTGGAGCGGGCTGGGGGGGGGGGGTCAGTGTGACGGGACTAGCCAGGTGGAGCGGGCTGGGGGGGGGGTCAGTGTGACGGGACTAGCCAGGTGGAGCGGGCTGGGGGGGGGTCAGTGTGACGGGACTAGCCAGGTGGAGCGGGCTGGGGGGGGGTCAGTGTGACGGGACTAGCCAGGTGGAGCGGGCTGGGGGGTCAGTGTGACGGGACTAGCCAGGTGGAGCGGGCTGGGGGGTCAGTGTGACGGTTTAGCCAGGTGGAGCGGGCTGGGGGGTCAGTGTGACGGGACTAGCCAGGTGGGGCGGGGGGGGGGGGTCAGTGTGACGGGACTAGCCAGGTGGAGCGGGCTGGGGGGTCAGTGTGACGGGACTAGCCAGGTGGAGCGGGCTGGGGGGGGGGTCAGTGTGACGGGACTAGCCAGGTGGAGCGGGCTGGGGGGGTCAGTGTGACGGGACTAGCCAGGTGGAGCGGGCTGGGGGGGGGTCAGTGTGACGGGACTAGCCAGGTGGAGCGGGCTGGGGGGTCAGTGTGACGGGACTAGCCAGGTGGAGCGGGCTGGGGGGTCAGTGTGACGGGACTAGCCAGGTGGAGCGGGCTGGGGGGGTCAGTGTGACGGGACTAGCCAGGTGGAGCGGGCTGGGGGGTCAGTGTGACGGGACTAGCCAGGTGGAGCGGGCTGGGGGGTCAGTGTGACGGGACTAGCCAGGTGGAGCGGGCTGGGGGGTCAGTGTGACGGGACTAGCCAGGTGGAGCGGGCTGGGGGGTCAGTGTGACGGGACTAGCCAGGTGGAGCGGGCTGGGGGGTCAGTGTGACGGGACTAGCCAGGTGGAGCGGGCTGGGGGGGTCAGTGTGACGGGACTAGCCAGGTGGAGCGGGCTGGGGGGTCAGTGTGACGGGACTAGCCAGGTGGAGCGGGCTGGGGGGTCAGTGTGACGGGACTAGCCAGGTGGAGCGGGCTGGGGGGTCAGTGTGACGGGACTAGCCAGGTGGAGCGGGCTGGGGGGGTCAGTGTGACGGGACTAGCCAGGTGGAGCGGGCTGGGGGGGGGGGGGTCAGTGTGACGGGACTAGCCAGGTGGAGCGGGCTGGGGGGGGGGGTCAGTGTGACGGGACTAGCCAGGTGGAGCGGGCTGGGGGGGTCAGTGTGACGGGACTAGCCAGGTGGAGCGGGCTGGGGGGGGGAGGGGTACCAGTACGAGGGACATAACAATGCACTATTCACACTGTTATAAGCGCTGGTACCTGATGTTGCATCAGTCACTCTGTGCCCTGCCGCCTGCTCGGTCAGGTATACTCAGCTCCAGTGGGTATACAGGAGCTGCCGTGGTTTACACAGAGCTACACCGGGTATACAGGCGTTGAAAGGTCTTATACCAGCATCTGAAGTGAAGTGTACTAAATTAATAACTCGGTGAACAGCAAGAATTAGTTTGTCTTTATAGGAAAGAATTGTGTAGCGGTGGATGAGGATGGAGGGGCCGGGAGCCGACACGAGGCCAGGCGCCCCAGTACGGTGCCTCGCACACCTCACTCGTAAGTTTCCTACTGTGTTGCCCTGCCATGCCTGCCATGCCTGCCATGCCTGCCATGCCTGCCATGACCCACAACCTAACCCTCCCTATCATTCCCTTGTTACAACTTATAATAAAGTTGTTACATCTTGTTATAACGTTTTATGAGTGATAAGAACCTTGTTACAACTTGCTGTGTTGATTGTTACAATTGTAGGAGGCCTGGTCGACGACCGGGCCGCGGGGACCCTAACCCCCGGAAGCACCTCAAGGTAACCTTAAGGTATTGTTTACAGTGTTAAAACTTGTTCGAACGTTGCAGCAACGTCGTAGTTTGGTCGTGTGTGTGTGTGTGTGTGTGGCGGGTATATATATATGCTCATGTACCCCCGCCACACGGCACGCAATACCTCGCTCCCCACACGTTGTTGTTGTTTTAGATTCAGCTACTCAGAACAAAGTGTCCATGTAGCACGGGCTATGGTGAGCCCGTAAGCTCCTCACCGATTGATTGATTGATGAAGATTAAGCCACCCAAAAGGTGGCACGGGCATGAATAGCCCGTAAGTGGTGGCCCTTTTGAGCCATTACCAGTATCAAGAGCTGATACTGGAGATGTGTGGAGGTGCGACTGCACCCTGCGTGACGGGAGATGTCTCCCGTAAGCTCCTCACCCCCTACTGCTACCATATATACTCATGTACCCCCGCCACACACCCCGTCCCCGACACCAGCTGCATTAGATGCACATTCCACCGCCACTACAATGATTTTTGAGATATATACAAGAGTTGTTACATTCTTGTAGAGCCACTAGTACGCGTAGCGTTTCGGGCAAGTCCTTAATCCTATGGTCCCTGGAATACGATCCCCCGCCGCGAAGAATCGTTTTTTCATCCAAGTACACATTTTACTGTTGCGTTAAACAGAGGCTACAGTTAAGGAATTGCGCCCAGTAAATCCTCCCCGGCCAGGATACGAACCCATGACATAGCGCTCGCGGAACGCCAGGCGAGTGTCTTACCACTACACCACGGAGACTGCACTTAGAAAAGCCGTTGAGGAATGGAACTCATTAGTGAGCACTCTGCATCTACATCCGTCACCAAGATAATGTTAATAAAACAAGACTAAAACCAGTGCACTAAAACAGAAGTGATAAATAAACAGGGAAAAAGGAAGAATCCCTTCCTCTATTTTAAACTTAGACCCAAATATCACAGAAACAAGGTTATCGTGAATAACCCAACTCAATTACGGGCTCACCATAGCCCGTGCTACATGGACACTTCGTTCTGAGTAGCAACATCTCAAACAACAACAATAGCCACACACCGTACAGTCAACCTGCACTCCTACAATAGCCACACACCGTACAGTCAACCTGTACTCCTACAATAGCCACACACCGTACAGTCAACCTGTACTCCTACAATAGCCACACACCGTACAGTCAACCTGTACTCCTACAATAGCCACACACCGTACAGTCAACCTGTACTCCTACAATAGCCACACACCGTACAGTCAACCTGTACTCCTACAATAGCCACACACCGTACAGCCAACCTGTACTCCTACAATAGCCACACACCGTACAGTCAACCTGTACTCCTACAATAGCCACACACCGTACAGTCAACCTGTACTCCTACAATAGCCACACACCGTACAGTCAACCTGTACTCCTACAATAGCCACACACCGTACAGCCAACCTGTACTCCTACAATAGCCACACACCGTACAGTCAACCTGTACTCCTACAATAGCCACACACCGTACAGTCAACCTGTACTCCTACAATAGCCACACACCGTACAGTCAACCTGTACTCCTACAATAGCCACACACCGTACAGCCAACCTGTACTCCTACAATAGCCACACACCGTACAGCCAACCTGTACTCCTACAATAGCCACACACCGTACAGTCAACCTGTACTCCTACAATAGCCACACACCGTACAGTCAACCTGTACTCCTACAATAGCCACACACCGTACAGCCAACCTGTACTCCTACAATAGCCACACACCGTACAGCCAACCTGTACTCCTAGCACACACACCGTACAGTCAACCTGTACTCCTACAATAGCCACACACCGTACAGCCAACCTGTACTCCTACAATAGCCACACACCGTACAGCCAACCTGTACTCCTACAATAGCCACACACCGTACAGCCAACCTGTACTCCTACAATAGCCACACACCGTACAGTCAACCTGTACTCCTACAATAGCCACACACCGTACAGCCAACCTGTACTCCTACAATAGCCACACACCGTACAGCCAACCTGTACTCCTACAATAGCCACACACCGTACAGCCAACCTGTACTCCTACAATAGCCACACACCGTACAGCCAACCTGTACTCCTACAATAACAACAACAATAGCCACACACCGTACAGCCAACCTGTACTCCTACAATGACAACAACAATAGCCACACACCGTACAGCCAACCTGTACTCCTACAATGACAACAACAATAGCCACACACCGTACAGCCAACCTGTACTCCTACAATAACAACAACAATAGCCACACACCGTACAGCCAACCTGTACTCCTACAATAGCCACACACCGTACAGTCAACCTGTACTCCTACAATAACAACAACAATAGCCACACACCGTACAGCCAACCTGTACTCCTACAATGACAACAACAATAGCCACACACCGTACAGCCAACCTGTACTCCTACAATAGCCACACACCGTACAGCCAACCTGTACTCCTACAATAGCCACACACCGTACAGCCAACCTGTACTCCTACAATAGCCACACACCGTACAGCCAACCTGTACTCCTACAATAGCCACACACCGTACAGCCAACCTGTACTCCTACAATAGCCACACACCGTACAGTCAACCTGTACTCCTACAATACACGTAACAAACAATAGCCACACACCGTACAGCCAACCTGTACTCCTACAATAGCCACACACCGTACAGTCAACCTGTACTCCTACAATAGCCACACACCGTACAGCCAACCTGTACTCCTACAATGACAACAACAATAGCCACACACCGTACAGCCAACCTGTACTCCTACAATAGCCACACACCGTACAGCCAACCTGTACTCCTACAATGACAACAACAGATGTTTCAGATTCAGATTCAGATTCAGATGTTTATTCAGGTAAGGTATATACATACAAGTGATGTTAAATTAATGGATTGATATATAGATAGAGCTAGTACATACAATGCCTAAAGCCACTATTACGCAATGCGTATCGGGCAAGAAAAACATTAATATCTAGAACTTAATACTAATTGAGCATAAAGAATAAAAGATGTTGAGAACAAATACAAATAAAGATAAAAAAAGGGGGAACATGACTGAAAAAGCAGCACAAATACAATAGGTTGACAAACAGTGTTGATTAAAAAAAAAAGAAAAAAAAAAGAAAATAACAGACATGGGTTGACAATAGAGGAGTGAGGTAGATTACAGGGAATTTATTAGGTAGTGTTTAGTTTTTATCTTAAACTGGTTGAGAGAGGTACAGTCTTTAACATGGTTGGGAAGGTCATTCCACATTCTGGGCCCCTTGATTTGCAGAGCATTTCTAGTTTGATTAAGACGTACTCTAGGAATATCAAAACTGTATTTATTTCTGGTGTGGTGCTCATGGGTTCTGTTACAACCTTCTATGAAGCTTTTAAGATCAGGATTGGCATTATAGTTTAGCGTTTTATATATGTATAATACACATGAGAGAATGTGCAGTGACTTAATATCTAACATATTAAGAGATTTGAGTAGGGGTACCGAGTGATGTCTGGGGCCAGAGTTGGATATTGTTCTAATAGCGGCTTTGTGTTGGGTAATTAGAGGACGTAAGTGATTTTGGGTAGTAGAACCCCAAGCACAAATACCATAGTTGAGATAAGGATAGATAAGGGAGTAATAGAGAGTCACCAGAGCAGGGCGTGGTACATAATATCTGATCTTAGAAAGAATGCCCACAGTTTGAAACTTTTTTTGATATATTTAGAATGTGTCCCTGGAAATTCAGCTTGTGGTCAATGAGAATGCCAAGGAATTTGCCATCTAATTTGTTACAAATTTGGGTATTGTTTATTTTGAGATTTATAAGACTAGAGGATTTATTGCCAAACAGAATATAGAAGGTTTTGTCAATGTTAAGGGTGAGTTTGTTGGCAGTTAGCCAAAGATGGACTTTATTTAGCTCAGTATTTACTGTGGCATTTAGACCAAGAGGGTCAGGACTGGAGTAAATGAAGGTTGTGTCGTCAGCAAATAGAATTGGTTTGAGGTGTTGGGAGGCATTTGGAAGGTCATTAATGTAGATGAGAAAGAGGAGAGGGCCAAGTATGCTGCCCTGAGGAACACCAATGTTGATGGGTAGGGTGGGAGAAATTGTATTATTCACAGAAACATATTGGAGCCTGTCAGTAAGGTAGGACTCGAGGTATTGTAGGGAGTGTCCTCTGACTCCATAATGATGTAATTTAAGAAGAAGGTTATGGTGGTTGACAGTATCAAAAGCTTTCCGCAGGTCCACAAATAACCCAACAGGGAGCTCCTTTTTATCAAGGGCTGTATGAATCGAGTTAAGCATACTAATAAGTGCATCGTTAGTGCTTTTTTTGGGTCTGAAGCCATATTGGCAAGGGCTAAGTATATTGAGTTTGGCTAGATATGAGTAAAGCTGCTTGTATATAAGTTTTTCAAAAATTTTTGACAAGTTTGGCAGGATTGATATAGGTCTGTAGTTGTTAACATCTGAGGGGTCACCACATTTGTGGACAGGCGTTACTCTCGCTTTTTTTAGAATATCTGGAAAGGTTTGGAGTTCAAGTGACTTGTTGAAAAGCAAAGCAATAGCCACACACCGTACAGCCAACCTGTACTCCTACAATAGCCACACACCGTACAGTCAACCTGTACTCCTACAATAGCCACACACGGTACAGCCAACCTGTACTCCTACAATAGCCACACACCGTACAGTCAACCT